AAAAAAAAAAAAATTGTCACTGATTATGTACAATTACCATATACAAGGAAGGTGCATTTAAATTTGTTGGTACCCCATACCTTTCAATTAATATTTTTATAGCTAATACGTGGATATTTTTTCTTTGATTGATTAAGCATTTTCACCTTAAATGATTGGAAATTTGGGGACCCCAACTTAGCATCAATTGGTTAGTTTGTGCACACGTTTAAATGCCTACAAAACACACTCAAACTAGTCAATTTTGAAAAATTTTGCACCATTTAAATTAGTGAAGGGTTTTTCAAGAATTCTTTTGCATTACGGAATTCCTTTTACGTGATATCTTAATCTCGCATAAAAGGTATTTCATGTTAGTAAAAAAATTTATATTTGAGACACATGAGATGCAGTGTCTTTGATGTAATAAAATATTATTTTTTCTATTGACTTAATAGTTAATATATTACTTCTTCATTTTCAAAATAACTGTTGATTATTTAATTTTGAATTTATTTTAAATTAATTATTTTTTTTATATTTTAAGATAAATAAATATTTTTTTATTTTAATCTTATTATTATTTATTTATTTTTATTAATTATCTTATCATAAAAAATTTTCTTAAAAATAATATAAATAAATATATAAATTACTTTCAAATCATTAATTTAAAAAAAAAAAGATAAAAAAAAATATACCAAAAGGATATATATTCTTGTGATATTGTAGAATTTTTCAATATTTGATACGGTCACATTGATCGAAAAATGTTGGGGTAAATTTTGGTTATCACAGTAAAATTAGAGGAACATGATGGCATGATAGTCACACGAAAGAGAGAAATGATGCTGATATAAGAAATGCCCTCCACCATATGCAATTGCCAAATCATATTGTTAAGTTTAATTAAAAAATCTCATCTATAATAATACTTTTGAAGAAAAGTTGAAACATTTACAACTAGCCATTTGGTAATGTCTTTTTTCTTGTCACTGACATTAGGCACTATTTGCTAAAGATTCTTCAATTTCCTTCTTTAATTAACTCTTTTCTTTTATTCATTTCCCCCTATATATACCTCTCACATTCCACCAATCTCTTCACTACACTCACTACTTCCTACTCTTTGCTGAATTTCCTATTTTTTCATTTTTCCTTCAAATTTCAATACTCCCTAGCCTTCTTTTGCTTTCTTCCCAAATGGCCAGTGTTGAGGTATGCATGGTGTTTTTTGTTGAAATCCCTTCGTTTATTCAACTTTTTATGATTGATCACCCTTTTTTTAGTGCTATCTTTTTCCTTCTTCTTATTTACAGAATAATTTCAGTATATATAGATCTAGAGCATAAGGGCTAGATCGATCATCGATCAGTTGATGAATCAATCTATATCCCATGATCATGTTAAATCACCCTTTTTCTTTGTTCTTTTCATTCTTTAAATGGCATGAAATTGAAAACCAAAAGGATCACTTCAGATTAATGATAAAATACCTTTCTTACCTTTGATTCTTGTAATATTGTTCATTTAAAATGATATAGTTTTTGGGGTTTTGATTTGAAGGTTCAACCAGCTGCAACAGCATTGCCCGAGAATGAGACACCACAGGTAACCAAAACAGAGGAGACTCTCAAAGAAGAACCTGTGGTTCAAGCACCAGTTGCCACTGAGGCAGTAGAGGCAGAACCAACGGAAACAACACCTAAAGAGGAAGCTGCGGGGGAGCCTGAGGCAGCTCCAGTAGTTGAAGCTGTTGCGGAGGTTGAAACAAAGGAGGTTGTAGAAGAAACAAAGGTTGAGGAGGAAGAGAAGCCAGCTGCAGAAGAGACGAAGGAAGAGGCTACTGAGGTGAAGCCTGCAGAAGTAGAAGCAGTTGTGGAGGAGACCAAGGTGGAGACCACTGAGGTTGTCGAGGAAGCACCTGCAGCTCCTGTGGAGGAGGAAGAGGAGAAGCCAGCGGCGGTGGAAGAGAAGGCAGTGGAAGCAGAAGCCAAAACAGAAGTTCCTGTTGAGAAGGCTGAGGAATAGAGAGGCTAGACAAGGCTGCATGTCAAAGTTGGCAACTTTTTTAGCTTTCTATTACTATTATTGTTGCTAGTCTTTCTCTTTTCTATTACTAGTTGACTAGCTCTATGATGAAAATATGGATGGGGTTTCCTCTTATTTGGTTGATAGAGTTTGATTTTTAGCACTTGGGTCCTTGTTGGCAGAGATATTCTAGGTTTTATGCATGGGGAGGGAGTTAAAATGAAGGAGGAAGACTGTTTGGGTTCAATCAGGGTCAGAATGCGTTTGCTTTGGTGTGATGAGAGGTCATATCTCTGTATCTCAATAATAATGTTTTTATATTTTTTTTTTCTTTTGAAAATATTTACATGCCATTTTACTTATGCTTCCAACCAAGCTTCTACTTCAAATTCTCTCAAACTAGTTTAATTATGAGGGAAGAAACTCCTTTAAAAAAAAAAGAGGGAGAGGAATATAACAAAGAGAAACTCAAAGGTATTTGAATAAAAAACCACATGATACTCACAGCTTTGTCGGAATTCTATTTGGGCTTTTTTGTTAGTATATACGCAATGATGACTTAGTTATATAAAGTGATAAACTAATTATATAAAATGAGATAACCATGTCTTTCTCAAATCTCTCTATGTATCCTAGGAATCTAACTCCAATATAAAATTCAAGCCTTTAACATCGAAACACTTTGGAAGACTTTGGTTTTCCAGGGGAGCATAAGTTTTAGATTGAAGGTCCTAAATTCGAATATTTGGATGAGTAAAAAGAAATTTTTTAAAGAGAGACCATCTATCGTTATATAACTCATCAATAAAATGACATAATATGGGGAAAGATACTGAATCCAAAACCACATGATGCTCACTGTTCGGTCGGAATTCTATTTGGGAGTTTTTGTTTGGTACATACTTCGATGATGAATAAGCTTATATAAAATGGAGAATTAGTTATATAAAATGAGAAAATCATATCCTTCTCAAATCTCTCTACATATCCTACGAATCTGACTCATAAAATTTAAGCCCTTAACATCGAGACACTTTACAAGACCTATGTTCCTAAGGGGAGGATGAGCTCTAACCTGATGGTCTTAAGGTCGAATATTTCGATGGGTAAAAAGATATTTTTTAAAAAGAGACTATCTATTGTCATATAACTCATCATTAAATGTTACAAGATAAAATCACTGACATAAAAAATGTTCAAAACAAAAACTCAATAAGCACCTAACCCTAGAGGCCCAATGGCTTTAGCCATTGAACAGGTGCACTCCCCCCTCTCCTGCGCGGGTTTCGAACCTACCCCATGTCAAGATGTTCAAAAAAAAAAAACAAAAACTCAATAAAGTACCTATCAGGAAAAAATGTTATGATGAAACATTCCATGTTAAAATGCCCCTCTAGCTGAGCATATATTATTACAAATTAAGAAACAAGAATCATTTTCAGGTGAAAATTTCCACAAAACCTAAATATCATGTTATTTTGAACAATCCGATATACATAGAAGGTCACCATCAAAGGGAAAGAAAAGAAACATGGGGTAGTAATCTGTGTGGTCCTGAATGTCATTGCATAATCTCAGTAATCACATTCACACGACATGAAAGCATGGCATGTAGCTTAGCTAATTCTAGGCAAGTCCATGGATTTTTTTTCTTCCCCAGTCCTAATTTATTTATAAATAGTTGAAAAAACAAAAACACAATGACACCTTACAAAGGAAAAGACAATTTGACTTCCATCACCTTCTTACATGCTCTAATGACAGAACAGATGATATTTTACCCTATAACATGTACAAGTTATAATTATATGTGCAGTCAAAAAAACTTTCCTTTATACCGAATGAGAATGCAATTAATGTGTTACCAAGTGCCAAAACTGCAGCCTATATGCTCCTGTGTGATAACATTAAGGCGATCTTTCATGACAGCCATGGAAGGATAAGGTGGCAAGCACAGTCGGTAAAAGCAAGTATGAGAAGAAGGGAGTAGGTTGTCTTGCTCTTGGGAATTATAAATGTGAAGTTTTGAGGCCAAACCACGAAAACCTTCAATTGGAAGATATTTCACTGAGGTCCAAAAGAAGAGAAGCACTTTTCTCTGCTCCACAGACATCTTCCCAACAATCTGAAAAATTTTGAGCATGAAACTGTTAATTAAAATTTAAAACATAAAATCCTGGTAATCAAAACCAGTGGAGGCATTGCCTCAATAATAGTCTAGATAATTTAATTCAAAGTTAAAACACAGCAAAGACAAGGTAATGCAGAACTTCTTAACCACTGATGCCAATATCTTTAAGAAAAATTGTGAAAGAAAATCTATAATCCTACCAATAGATACAGATACTTCTCACTCTGTCAACGAGCATTCCTGAACTCTAGACTACAAGGTTAGTTTACAGTTATCCTTAAAAGCCTTGCACTGAACAATGAGCATCACTGGTTAATTACAACTCATGGCATGCCTTAGCTCTTATATATCCTGTTCAGTCACTTTCCCTTTATACATAGCCACATTATTGAAAACTGGGGCAAAGCATAACAATCTGATTCTGATAAACTGCAACAGGATTGACTATAGAGATTGGAATATAATTCTCCAAGCTAAATCTAAAATCAATAATAGCTTTAAAACAGTTTTAAATCCAAGTCCATAATCAGAACCATTTTATAATAACTGCTGTGGAAAATAGAAGATAGATTAAGCATAATGGCATTGTGCCTCTAGAAGCAGATAAACCAAAAAAATAAAGTACAAAGTAGTACATAGTGGTACACCCAACAGCCAATTATTTCCACACAAAAAAAAAAAAGGACTAGTTGAAACAACACATAGGGGAAAAGTCATAAGCCAGGCATTAAGGCTTCAAGTAGTGGCAGGAGGATGAAAGATAAATTTAAAGGGAGTAACTTTCCAAAGAACAAAATAGGGACGAAAGCACAATCTTAACATACCTTCCAGAACCAGGTTATCTGAGGGTCATTTTCTCCATAGCCATTGTACTCAGTGTATGCCTTCCAATCTTCAACAGCAATGGCACTTTCACTTCCATATAGCATCCCATCTAGATCTTCAAGTTCCAAAGCTTTGAAAAAATACTTCTGGTCTCTTGAGCTAGAAAGAATATCAGCAAATCCTTGTGCAAAATGGGATACCTGTTCAGAGACAGATGTTACAAACTGATGCCGAATAAGAAGGTCAATATATTCCTGCCTATTTCTGCTATTCACAGCAATGCTTTTCCCACCAGGACGCAGCTCTATAACTTTCTTGGATCCCAACTCCTCAACTTCTCTAACAAAAGTCAATCCTAGATCATCTGAATCAATAGCATCAGCATCCATAGTGAGGATCTGCTTGTAGCTACTATACAAACATGGATCTGCCTCTTTGATATCTTCCAAAGAAACATGCATTCCAGCCAATTGTAAGAAAAAGATACGATCAAAGACAACACCTACTTGCACTTTATGCATCAAGGCTAAAGCAATCACACGACCAGCAAACTTGAAGTAATCAAGGTGCAAGTGATGCACCTTAGATGCTGCATATAGAAGAAAATTCATAAGTAACAGTTATCCTGTGTTATAGATTCATTATGGTTATATAATTTATACCAGATGTGCATTCTACAAACTTCATGACAGGTATAAAGAAAACAACTTTCAACTTTTCAGGATTCATATTCCTAAGCAATGAATGACAAAGAGAAGTTTCTAGTGGTAGTGGCCCTCAAATTTGAATCTATTCTATAGGTAAAATTCAATAATTGAGTGGGTATTCTTGTTCTGTATAAAGGTAAGACAACCCCACAATTTATGAGAATGATCAAAACCCCCAATAATCCAAAACTCTTTGCTGATCCCTTCTCAATGCTTCCATTCTAAAGAACAACCATGTCACAATTCATGACACCTTGTCTGATAACAGGTATCATGTTTGGAGACAAGGATGACAGTTTTGATTAAACATGAGAGGGGAAAAAATTACCATGTGTTCATGATTGGAAAATAAGAGTTAAACTTTGATCACCAGGTTGAGGGTCTTAGAATAGCTTCACCAAATAAAGGGAATTATTTTCTTCAGCTGTAAAGCTGCATGGCACAATCTAAGTTGAAAAGTTGATTGAAGCAGATCATGTAGAAATTGCAGTCATTTAACAAGATGATTCTCAGATCAATTATATTTGATGCTTGTTATTGAAGCCAACAAGCGAGACTAAGCAACAAAATTGCTCACTTCAACCCATTGAATGAAGAGAGAATAACACAAATCTCATGGAACTAGGATGTGTTTGGTTGGGGAGGGAAGTTACCCCCCCTCCCAACTTTCCTCATAGGTCATTTACGTATTTTCACACCTTAATACTACGACAAAAGGGGGTAAGAGTGGCATTTTTAGCCTTTATTTTCCCTAACACAGTTTCCAACTTGTAAACTTTTCTTCCCATGCTTTTTGAAGAAACAACCTTCCTACCAAGTTTCCCTATGTCAATTTCTTACCAAATTGGAAAAGTTAACAACCCAACAAAATTCCAACAAAACTTCATTACAGAACTTTTCAACTTTCCGTACAATACATTCCCAACCACTTTCCCTGTAAAGTTGGTCTCTAACCAAACACACCCTAGAGAGAAAAATTCAAAGCATGGCCGAGAGAAATGAGAATTTCAAAGAGCCTCACTGATCATTGAAAATGATGAGTGATGAATACAAGTTTTCAGAACAAGTCCAATCAGAACTGTGGGAACCACTGATACTAAGGTTAAAAGAGATAACAAAGTGGATTGAGAATATATTATTAACTTGTATTTCTCCCTAGCCCAAAAACAGTAAAATCATATTGCCAAGTTAAAATTTTTATTTGTGCCATGTTTAGGACTCCAGAGACCTATCTACCACACCGCAGCATAGCAGAAAATAAAACATTTTTCGTGATGCAGAAACAACAATTAAAGTAAAAAGCATTCATGAAAACCTGTGTAAGCTTACCATTATTAGGAAAGAACCGTCTGTGATCATTTGGGCAATGCGAAAAAAGGGCAATCTCTGGATTGAATAGAGCCTGGCATACCAAGAAAAACCACTCCCTCAGCACACCAGGTCCTGTAGCTTCTTCATTTTTGAATTCCATAAACAGACCAGCATGCAGTGACTCAGTCTCTGCTCGAGCAATGTATTCAAAAGATTCTTCCAACAACTTAGACCTGTCAATAAGCATTTCATGCAACTCATCATAATCTTCCTTTACCTCTGGAAACATCTGCATTGCCAAATGCCTCCTAGATTCAAAATCAATTACATCCTTATGCTCAAAAAGCCACCGATAATCATCATTTCGCCCTGCATATCTAACAATTAAAGCACACAATGCAGACTTCCTAGGCTTCAAGACCATCCAAAACATTTCTTCCGCACCCTCATAGAGTTTTGAAATGCCATCCAGTCCCTTCAAAATGGCAAGATACTGATGCCATCCGTCTCCACTTTCTTGTCCTGACAAACATTCCTCCACTCTAGCAAGGCATTTATCCATTTTATTCAACAAATCATTAAATATGGCATGGAGGTGATAGACAGAATCATCATAATCCTTATTCTGCGACTCAATAGAAATGGGGATCTGAAATCCTGCACTCTCAATAGCAGAGCACAAACCAGTCAAAAAGGACACAAAATCACACACATCACTTGAAGTTGGCCCTCTGGGAATCCCTATGCGCAAGGGAAAGGCTGACTCTATACTTGACTTCAAATCGTTAGACAACGTCTCAGCCAACTCACTGACAAAAGGGAAAATATCTCGTATCAGGAGCAAGCCTTTGCCCTCCTGTTCACGCTTCAACCCCACAGTGCCATCAGCAGCACTCTCCAACAAGAACCCCAGAGTACTCCGGCACAACTTATACAAATTATCCTCATCAGCAACCTTCCTAGCCAACTTGCAAAACTCTAACACCACAGGCGTGCAATAAACGTGCAGATGTTTTGATAGTGAAGTTTTGCAGGAATTTAAGAAAAGTTTAATGGAAGCATCCGCACACCTTTTGTTTTCACCAATTGGAGACATATAGAGCATCACCAGAAACGCCGGAGCTGACGAGGTCATAAAAATCTGCAAATGAGAAGGGGCAGACTCGTCACCGTCCTCCGGCACCAGCGAGAAGAACTTCTGCAGGCCTTCATTGACGTACTTTTGATTAGCAGGGGCCAGGTCACCTCGGCACAAGCGGCGGACGGCGGAGATCACGTCGTCAATGGCTTGCCACGCCTGAGGGTGGTTGGTGGACCGCATACGGCCGACAAGGTGAAGACTGGCATCGTTCTGAATTCCACAGTCCGCAAGGGACCGATCCCACTGCAGCTGTTTGCCGCGATAAATAAGCCGCTGCTCGAACACAGGAATTCCAGTCATGACCTGAATCTTCTCGTGGAGGGATTTCACAGTATCCTTCGAATCGGCATGGACAACGTTGGTATTCCCCTCGGAGAGCATCCGTATGAAGAATTGGAGCCAGGAGGAGGACGACGTTGAAGAGAAAGATGGAAAACTGGAGCAGGAAGCGCGGTAATCGAAGGCAAGGTCAGTGGCGGCGGAGGCGGCTGAAGAAAGGGGGTAGTGGATTGAGTGATTGGTGTCATGGTAATTGGTATCATGGTGGTGGTGGTGGTGATCGTCTTTTCGCATTCTGTGGGTTAAAGTAGAGTCATCGTCGTCTTCGTCGAAGTTAGGGGAGTAATCATCGAGCTTGCGCTTGGAGGAGAGACGAGGATCAACGGCAGAGAAGTGGAGGAGAGACATTGGACGGTGGGCCCCCAGCCGATTACGGAGGGGCAGAAGGCATGGGATCGTCGGAATTGGGCGGAGACAAAACCCTAGGTGGAGTAATCGCGGCGATGAGAGCAGGAGGAGGAGTAATCGGAATTATTAGAGTATGAGAAAGACACAGCCGTCAACCCAACAGCAAGGCCTGAGAAAGAGGTTCAATACTGGACATGTTACGCTAAATAATTTTCTATTTTTTTAATTTAAGATTTTTTTTTCTTTTGCCTACGTACATACATCATATATATCATTATTACTAGCTTAAATATTAATTTTAGTCCTTTAATTTTTTAATTTTATTTTTTTAATTTCTTAATTTTTTTAATTTTTTTTATTTTTCAACTCTAAAAATTACACAATTTTAATTTTTTTATCAGTTATTTATAACATGACAGTTAAATAATCCTATAGTGGTATTTTTTAAAACTTTTTTTATAACATGTCAATAACACATCTTATAATTTGATTACGTGTACAAATAAAATATCAAATTAGATGCTAAATTATATTAACATTTATATTTTTACTGATATAAATGAGTGTATACATTCAATATTACAAATTAAAATAACCAATCATTTTAATAATACATCATATTATATCTAAAGATGAGATGAAAATATTATCCCAAAATCATTTTTCATTAGTGACTCTTTAAAGATCTTGCTAATCACGAAGTTAAAGTGTTTGCATTAACTGCAAGAAAATTTTTTCAAACTATAAATAGTATTTTAGTCACAAAGTATAGGATAGACATTTTTTTCTCAACTAAGACAACCCTTGCGCATAGTGGATACAACTTTCTTAATATCTTATCTCACAAGTTTGGTAACTTCCCTCTTATGCTCTTGAAATTGCCCCGGCCAAAAGGAAAAAAATTCCTGGGATTGAACGAACTAGTTTCAGAACCCCTTTTCTAGAAAAAGAGACGAACCGTTGCAAAATGTAACATAGGTCATTCATGACAATGTAAATAACACAACCGTTGCTGTGCTCTGGTCATGGCTAACATGAATTTTGTTAAGGATATTAAAATTGTGAAATTTTTAACAGTTGATAATTTATAAAATAATTAACGTTTATTATTTAAAATATTAAAATTAAATTATAAACCGATATTTTGAAATATCTTAGTTAACTTTTTAAGAAAAAAAAATTACAAATCAATAAAATTGTTGTTAAAATTAAAATCATTCATGGCTACAACCTCAGTGCTGTCGCTGATGCACTGAATTTTGATTAACTCATTACACCACAGGAGGCATGGTAGAGGTAAGATTTTCTTGGCTTGGGTTTGATCATAAAACTTAACCAATAAAATAAAG